TATACATTTTTATTAATTTTTTTGTGCAGATTTCAACAAACATACAGAAAAATTATTGGAGTTCATCTTCATATTTTTTTTGCGAAAAACTAAAAATTTTTTTCGTTTTAGAAAAAAAGTGTCTATCCCCCCCTTGGTTTTCACCATTCTTGTCCCATTCGACTGAAGCTTTGCTTATTTGATGTATTTTCGTGTGTAGATTTCAGGAAAAATATAGCGAACATGATTGGATTTGATCTTCATATTTTTATCAGCGAAAAACTCAAAGTTTTTAAAAATTTCGTCAAAAAAGCGTGTATTTCACTCTAGCGCTCACAGTTTTTTACCTAGAGAGCTGAAAATTAGTACACTTTTGTATTTTCACGTATAGATTACAGGAAAAATATAGTGGAAATGATTAGAATTGATCTTCATTGCGTTTTGAGCGAAAACCAAAAATTTTTTTTTCAATTTTTGATAATAATTATACCTATGCTAGTTCTCTCAATTCCTAGTCTAGTGGACTGGCGTTAGGCATTTTTTATTTATTTTCACGTGTAGATTACAGAAAAAATACAGAAAAAATTATTGGAGTTAATCTTCATATTTTATTTTGCGAAAAACTAGAAATTTTTTTCGATTTAGAAAAAAAGTGTGTACCCCCCCCCCTTGGATTTCACAATTATTGGCCTATTGGACTACAGTTTTGCTTATTTTATGTATTTTCATGTGTAGATTTCAGGAAAAATACACCGAACATGATTGGATTTTATCTTAATATTTTTTTCAGCGAAAAACTCAGTTTTTAAAAATTTCGTTAAAATAGGGTGTTTTTTACCCTAGCACCCATATTTTTTTATCTGAAGAGATGAAAATTGGTTATTTCTTTATTTTCACCTGTAGATAACAGAAAAAATACAGCGAAAAATATTGGAGTTGATCTTTATATTTTTTTTAGCAAAAAAGTAGAAGTTTTAAACGAGGGTACGGAACCCTCGGTTTTAGTACGAGTTCTATTCGCACTTGTCCGGTTTTTTTTAATCTTTACTTAACATTAAATTAATAAATTAAAGACAGTATTTACTGAAACTAGTCATATGTATCTGTTATTAAAAAACTATTTAAACAAATGATTGTTGTTATTTACCAACTTTTTACAGAATGAACCTAGAAAGTTTCAGTTTTTGTCTAATTTTGCAATTTACTAAACTATATATGATTACAGATAAAGGATAAAAATTGAATTATTATTTAAACAATTTTTAAACAAATTAATAATTTGTTTAAAAATTGTAATCAAATAAGGTTTAGTAAATTGTAAAATTAGGAAGAAACTCCAATTTTATAGGTGCATTTTTTAAAAAGTTGGTAAATAACAACAATAATTTGATTAAAAAATATTTAAATAATAATTCAATTCTTATTCTGGGTAAGACTCCGTCAGAAAAAAAGCGATTTGCAAGTGGTCTTCCGATTTCTTCGAAACCTTGGGAAATAGAAGTCTTATATGAATTAAATTTAACCCTAAAAGGATTTTTAAAAATTTTCAAAATGGCGGCCGCTACGCCATATTGAAAATGAGTGTTGCGTTTTTTTTTAAATTAATAACTCTGAAACTTTTTGATCGATTTTAATAAAATTTACAGGCGATATAGTTAAAAATACGTAGTTTAATTTGATATTATGAACAAAAAAAAATTTCCAAAATTTGTCAAAAAAAAAGTCAAAAGAATTTTTTGAATTAATTTTTAGTTCAGTTGGCTTAATTTTTGAATTTTCTAATAAGTAAATATCGATTCCTTGAAATTTCACCTTTCATTTCATAAAAAAAAATTTATGGAGACTCTAATAGTTCTCGAGATATTGCGACTTTAGAGGGAGCGCGTACCGCGGAATTAAACTCCGTAGCGAGGCGGAATATGAAGCGAGCGTACAAACGTGCACAATAGGGTGTCCGTAACAATTAATTTCCAAAATTTTGGATCCAATATGGCAGGTTCAAAATTTTAATTTTCTACATTTTCGAAGTAAATATTGTAAAACAACGTCAAGGGCGATATTTGGAAGCGCTATTTACGAATCTAATGTTAAAAATTTATTTTTTAAATTACCGAATCTAATATGGCATGGCGGATTCAAATTTTTTTTTTAAATATTCCTTTAATAATCGATTATTAAAAGCAGAGGTATAAAAAGTTAAATTTCTATAAAAGAGTTTCTAAAACATCCCAATAATTATTTTTTGTAAATATTAATCTATAAATTAATATTTAGACTATTTACTTAAAAATGTAGAAAATCATAATTTTGAATCCGTCATAGTGGATCGAATAATTTGAAAAATAAAATTTTAACATTAGATTCGTACACTCAGAAAAAAATTTGATCGAATCAACCAAATTTTTGTTGAATCAACCAAATAAATGCATTGCTATACAGTCAACCAAACGTTTGTTTGATTCAACCAAAAAATTTCTTCCAATACGTTTATTTGTATTAACCAAATGCTTATTACACTTAACCAAAAAATTTTATTTAATATAACTAAAAAATTTGTTTATTTCAAGAGAAAAGATTTGTTTGATTCAAATAAATAGTTTTAGTAAACGTATTTGGTTCATTTAAATAAATATTTTTGTTTACTTAATTTTGTTATTTATTTTCCTCTAATAATATTTGAATTTCCTAATTTAATATTTTCTAGTACATATTATTGGTTAATTTATAATTTATTATATAATTATTTATTGATATTTTAAAATTATACATATAATAAATTATAAATTAACCAATAATATATATACTAGAAAATATTAAATTAGGAAACTCAAACATTATTAGAGGAAAATAAATAACAATTAAGTAAAATATTATATATGTATTTCTTCATATAAACAAAATTACTTAATTATAAAAAAACATTTGAAATATTACATTAAACATATTATAATTATGATTTTTATACGTGCATTCAGAAAAAAGTTTATTCGAAACAACAAACTGAAAACTTCACAAAACCTTTTTGTAAATATTCTTCTCACTGGTACAAATTAAATATGCAGTAAGTCAATGAACACAATGTATTTAATATTTATTTAACCGACACTTATTATAATTTTTTTTCTTTGATTTACCGATTTAACAAATAAATTTGACGCGAACGCGGACTGTAGACAAGTGAGATCGCCATTTTTAAATTCACACATGTACTTTTTGAGACAAGCAAATATGTTTGTTTGACTCAAATAAAATGATTTGGTTGAATCAAACAAATTTGTGTGTTGTGTCGAACAAACTGTATTTAACTAAACAATATTCTCTATTCAAAACACAAATTAGGTTAAATGAAACAAACAACTTCAAATAAAAAATTTCTTTCCAATAACCAAACAAATTTTACGTATTTATTAAAATAAACCAAATTTTTATTTAAATCAACAAAATTGTTTTATCGTGACAAATAAAATAGGTTAATTAAACAGTTTGGTTAAGTGAAATAAACTTTTTCTCTGAGTGTAAATAGCGCTTCCAAAAATCGCCCTTGATTAGAGTCTCCATAAATTTTTTTTTATGAAATGAAAGGTGAAATTACAAGCAATCGATATTTACTTATTAGAAAATTCAAAAATTAGGCCAACTGAACTAAAAATTAATTCAATAAATTTTTTTGGCTTTTTTTTGACAAATTTTGGAAATTTTTTTTCGTTCATAATATCAAATTAAACTACGTATTTTTAACTATATCGCCTGTAAATTTTATTAAAATCGATCAAAAAGTTTCAGAGTTATTAATTTTTGAAAAAAACGCAACACTCATTTTCAATATGGCGTAGCGGCCGCCATTTTGAAAATTTTTAAAAATCCTTTTAGGGTTAAATTTAATTCATATAAGACTTCTATTTCCCAAGGTTTCGAAGAAATCGGAAGACCACTTGCAAATCGCTTTTTTTCTGACGGAGTTTTACCCATTCTTTATCTGTAATCATGTAGAGTGTACTAAATTTCAAAATCTGCAAAAACTGCGTCTTTCTAGATGCATTCTGCAAAAAGTTGGTAAATAACAACAATCATTTGTTTAAACAAATAAAAAAAATCATTGTAACATCAAAATATATTGTATTTTTTGACATAAAACATTTTTACTGCAAAACTTTGATGACTTTATTTGTATTTTTTTGCAATATACAAAATAAATACCCGGGAAAGTTTTAGTAGTTTTGTACATACTTTTATAATAATTGTTATAAATAAACAAGAAGAAATGTAAAAAAAAATTATTTTTTTTATTTTTCGAAAGTAGATGATAAAATTTTGTTCAGTGAGTTAAATTCGCGATTCGATTGATGGAAAAGTCGAGCAGATTTACAACATTATTCATTGCTTGGTTACCCTAGGTGACCGCTCCGGAGCGCGAAGGTTAAAGTGACCTGATGATGGTGGCGAACCAGACCACCGAAACATCGTCAATTTTATAAAAAAGTAAAAGACAGTGTTTTTTCTTTCACCTTTGAAACATCTTTTAAAAATCGAAAAAATAACACAGGTCCACAAAAAAAAATCGATGAAAGGTTCCTTTGACCAAACATGGTGTATTATATGTATTTTGGGTCGCTGAAACCGAATCTGAAGTCCGTTTGGCTCCATCACGTCAGGATTTTTTCCTAACCTCAAAATACATGTCGGATTTTGCATGACAAAAAAATTTTAAAATATTAACGGATTTAGCTTAATTTTGGGATACAGGGGTTTAGAGGGGTCCCTGATTACGAAATTAAAGGCAAATTTTTAAAATACAAAATGGCGGATCCAATATGGCGGTAAAAATTTTCAAAAAACTCTTGAATTTTCAAAAAATTCTTCAATTTTCAAGAAATTGTTCAGATTTTATAAAATTTTGTATCGAGGGATTTTTGAGGTCACTGATTACGAAATTAAAGGTAAATTTTCAAAATACAAAATGGCGGACAAAAAAATATTCTTGAATTTTCATAAAACTTGGTACCGAGGGGTTTTTGGGGTCGCTGATCACTTATTTAAAGTCAGATTATCAAAATACAAAATAGAAAATTCAATATGGCTGTCGGATGTATAACAATTTCTTTAATGTTCACAAAACTTGGTATCTAGAAGTTTTTAGGGCCGCTGCCCACAAATTATATCGTGTGCCTGCTTCCAGGGCACCTCCACGTGGTGACAACGGGCAACGGAGTTGTACCGTGATCCGGCAGAGTTCCTGGATCACGATCCTTAAGGTGAGTCTGCAATGGGTTTAGTTGTACGTGTACGTGACACTAATCCCATTTTAGAATCACCTTTACGCCGTCATGGTAGGCACACGAAAAAAAAGTACGATGCAGGGAGTCGGAACCCCAGTATCGGTGGCTGGACAGGGTAAGAAAGCGGGCCCGCAGGCGTCGTCATCAAGCAACCGCAGCTCTACATTGGTGGGTGATCTGATTTCAAAATCATAGTTAGCGAGCTCAAAAACTCACAGATACTAAGTTTTGTAAAAATCCGACAGCCATATTGGATTTGCTATTTTGTATTTTGAAAATCTGACTTTAAATAAGTGATCAGCGATCCCAAAAACCCCTCGGTACAAAGTTTTATGAAAATTCAAGAATTTTTTTCTGACCGCCATTTTTTATTTTGAAAATTTACCTTTAATTCCGTAATCAGTGACCTCAAAAATCCCTCGATACAAAATTTTATAAAAATTGAAGAATTTCTTGAAAATTTTGACCACCATATTGGATCCGCCATTTTGTATTTTGAAAATTTGCCTTTAATTTCGTAATCAGGGACCGCTCTACACCCCTGTATCCCAAAATTAAGCTAAATCCGTTAATATTTTAAAATTTTTTTGTCCTGCAAAATCCGACATGTATTTTGAGGTTAGGAAAAAATCCTGACGTGATGGAGCCAAACGGACTTCAGATTCGGTTTCAGCGACTCAAAATACATATAATACACTATGTTTGGTCAAAGGAACCTTTCATCGATTTTTTTGTGGACCTGTGTAATTTATTAATTAATACCTATGATAAATTCTGAATGACCTATAATTATTATTAGGCACAACTGAAATTTAGAGGTAATGCAATGCGAGGTAATTTTTTTCATTAACCTTCTGAGGGCCGGGATGGTCAGTATAGTGGCCACCATTTATTTTGACGAATCTTTTTATCGAATTGACTTCTTATTTGTAAATTTTTTAAAATAAATAAGTACTAAAATCTGTGCAAATTTACCGGCTCTCCAAAGGTTAAACAATGTTATAAACAGAAAACTAAACCTTTGTGAATATAAAAATAGTTTTGTAATTTTAATCTAATTGAAAATATGAGAACAGAAAGTAAAAAAAAATATCCAGAGTATAAGAGATTAATTTGAAAATTATTGTTGAATTTTTATTGAATTGAATAGAGAATAAAGTGTAATAAAGAAGTTCTGATGAAATAATAAAATTGAGGCCTGCATCAGTGATTTCGAATGATATGTATAGAATGACACCCTTATTCATATAGCCTTTATGAATTCAACGCTTGGGGTTCTTGTTTTCCTATATGTGTATGCATGTAGCACCATAACTGATAGATAATATAGAAGGAGTTTACACCGTAAGCCTTAAATATAAGCCTCCGCGAGCATAAACGGATATGCCTCCATGAGGATATACTTGCGTCTGCGCAAAGTGTTTGCCTGCAGCTGTGTTGTGAAAGAGTTTGCCTTGACCACGTGTTCGCGCAGGCGCAAATATATGCTCCTGGAGGTATATCCGTTTATGCGAGCGGAGGCTTATATTTAAGGCTTACGGTGTAAACTCCTTCATAGTATACAGTAAAAAGAAGGATATTGAGTGCACTCGGGGCTTACATCTTTCATAAAAATAATTCAGTTAGTATTGAGGGTAACGTTATGCCCAATTAAACGATGTACCACATATATAGTCATTATTGTACTCTCGGAGCATTTGGCAAACTCAATTCGAGTCAATTTCGAGCAATTCGATTCGATGCTAATGGAACGATGATCACCAACTCGATTACTGCGGGATCCCGCGATTTCCGCCTCGTGGTTTGACTCTCATTCGTATTGGAATATTAATTCTTAACGAGAATTTTATTACCTACACTGGATTAATTTTCATTCAACTGTTAAATTTTTAGTTTTAATTCTGTTAATATTCACGCGCATCTGTGACAATTTCTTTTATTTATTTATTGCTTTAGTTCATTATTATTTTTTTATATTCATTTTATTTTTCCAAATATTTTTTCAGTTTATTTTATTTTTCATTGTTTCATTTTATTTCAGGAAAAAACTAACATTCCCTATAAATTTGTAATACCGGGAGTTAACAATAAATGAATAAAAAAGCCCTTAAAAATTCAATAAAGTGTAAAAAGACTTTAATTAACTCGATTACTAATAAATTCTTTATTCGTTTATATTCATGTTTATTGAAAAACTTTAGAAAGGTTTAATTAAAATTGGATTTTCATGAATGTTTTAAAGTCTTCGTCAGGTGGTCGGCTAATGAAAAAAAAATTATTTGATTTTTCTTCTTTATTGTTTATATTTTTTTTAAAATTTTTACAATATTTTGTTCCGTTCATTTTACAATTAATTTTAATTTTATTATGTTTTTTTTAATTATTTCACGGAGGGGAAAAACAAAAAATAATTTTTTTTTGCAGTAGGTTACTTTTTTCATAAAACGAATTAAACAATATGTTTTTACACTTTATTTTAAGTTCACACAACAAACTTTTGAGACAAAATTATTTATTTTTAAATATATTACGATATAATCTGATGTCAGATTATAAAAAATTATTAAATTCAAAGGATCGGATTGAATATGGGCTACTTTATTTTTAAAAATAATAGCATATTTTATGATACTTGTTTGGGTTTTTGGGGTTGCTCATTACGATTCTAAAGTCAGATTTAAAAAATTTTAAGTGTCGAAGTGTCAACGATCCAAAAAAACCCTGAATTACGAGTTCCAAGCAAATTGAATCGATTTTTTGCTTCCTCATGAGGAAGCTTTGCATTCGTGACGATTCTCAATTTTTAATACTGTCGTCCGCCATATTGGATTCGCCTTTTTGATATTTAAAAATTTCCAATGTAAATGTCAAATTAGTACTCAGTAATCAAGAAAGCTTCTCAACACTCTGGAATTAGAAAATAAACCATTTTTATATTGTTTAAACCATCTTAAAATTTAGGTTTCACACTCTCTAAATCTGAATATGTGAAACTTCACTTATTGTACGTTATAAATCGTCTTCTCGATCAATAAGTGCATATACACTTATAAATAAGTGAATTTTTCACTTATTCTGAGTGAAATTTCACTTATTATAAGTGTATATGCACTTATTGATCGAGAAGACGACTTATAACGTACAAATACAGTAGGATCTTTGAATAGTGCAGTTCTGAACAGTGCAGTCATTAGTGAGTTGAGTAGACAAGGGGTTTCGGGGGGCAAAGAGAAAGGGAATCTGTGACGTCAAATACAGTGCCGTCGCTCATTTGATTATTTAGTATCATTTAGTGGTGCCCGGTATTTAGTAGTGGGGGACCCTTAATTTTCTTGACACAGACCTGAATGTTTTAGTTTCTGCTTGCTTCGAACAGTGCACAATATTCCCAACGACTGCATTATTGAAAGATCCTACTGTATGTGAATTTCCACATATTCAGATTTAGAGAGCAAGTAGGTAAATGGAATTTTTATGTTTATAATTTTTAAAAATCGTAATTGAGCGTTTGAGGACAAAATTTTTTGAGTAGTTTTATTTGAAAACTTTATTGAAATCTGTTATAAGGTTTGAGTTGTCAGTTGAGTTTGTGTCCAAAAAAGTGTACTTTTTTCCCACTGTTACGTCTCAGATGGTAAGCTACAAATGAAGCCGCGCGTCGAAGAGGGATCTAACTCATTTTTTGTCAAATTTTAACTGTATAGAAAAAAATATTGTATTAAATATCCTTTTTAAAATTCTGAAATAAAAATTACATAATTATAATATTATAATACCTAATATTATAATTATAAATTGTCTATCGTGGAAGAGGAATCTAACTCTTTTCGATTGTCAACTTTTTTAAGAAAGGTTATAAATAATCAGTGTGGTTAAGTAACATAAAATAACATAAAATGCCTCGAAAAAGGAAGAGTAATCCTTCAGAATGGAAAGATAATAAAAGAAAAAAATTAAAAGATGCGGGAAAAGCATATGAAACACGAAACGGAAAGCCAAAAGAAGAAAAAAAGGCTTCTGACTGTGTAAGTAACAACATTGTGGAAAAGAGATCTATCTAGAAAATAATGTTTTTATTTTTTTTATTTTAATTTATTCACTATAATAAATAAACGTTAAAAAATTATTTATTAAGTAAATTAAATTCAGTTTTTTAATTTATTGCTAATTTTCTTATTTAATTATAATGTTATATTATTTTCATTTATAATTTTGTCGTAAAAATAAAAAAGTATCAAAAATTTTTTTTACTATTATCACAAATTATTTTTAAGCATTTATTTATTTTTAGTTTTCTTATTTATATTATTTATTTATATTACAGGATCGGGTTTGTAAATGCAATTATAATGGATGTTCTTTATTATATAAAGAATTAAAAACAGAACTGTTCCACAAATTTTATGAATGTGACTACAATTCTCAATCAGCCATTCTTCTTTCGTGTATAAATGTCGTTCCAATGAAGACTCAAAAAATTAAAGAAAGTGATTCTCCGGAACTAACATCTCGTCGAACTTCCACCTATAATTATACAATTCGATTACCTAATGGTGCGATTGAGAAAATCTGTCAAAAAACTTTGTGTGATATTTACGCTGTATCACATAAACGCGTTCAGAATATTCAAAAGAAAATTAAAGAAGGTGTACTGGATCCTAAAGACGAAAGAGGGAAACATTTGAATAGACCCCACCGAAGAACTGAAGAAACTCGAGAACTTGTTCGAGATCACATCAAACTCTTTCCGCAAATGGAAAATCATTATAGCCGAAACAAAATTTCCACTGACAATCGAATGTATTTACATTCTTCATTAACATTGAACAAAATGTTTCTTTTATTTCAAGAAAAGTACCCAGAATCCGATGTTTCATTTTGGCTATATAGAGATGTTTTTTACAATGATTTCAATTTGAAGATTGGTCTGCCGAGGTCCGATACTTGTAAAACATGCGATAATTTATATGTAAAGCTACTGGCTGCGGAAAATGAAGAAAAAAGAAAAGAAATAGAAGCGATAAGTGAAGCTCATCATATGAAAGCGGAAAATGGTTACGTCTCAATGAAAAACGACGGTGAAAATAGTAGAAACAATTCGAATACTGTAGTTTTATGCGTGGATTTACAGCAAGTAATCTTTTTACCTATGTTGACACATTCAAGCGTTTTCTATCAGAGGCAATTGTCCTGTTATAATTTCGCAGTTCATAATCCTTCTACAAATCATGCGCAAATGTTCTTATGGCACGAAGGAATAGCTA